CAGCTAGTGTGGCGGCTACTGGTGTTCGGAATAGTTCTCATCTCGGTGCATCTGTTACATTCATGATGCCGTTTACATTTTCATTTGAGAAGTATGCAGATATGATATATATAGTATGTGTACGGGTTTTGTGACGGTAACTCAGTTCTTGCCGTAGCTGAATATCAGCAACGGTTTCCGAATCATAGAATACCGAACCGGGGAGTGTTTACCAGGCATTGCAAAATACCGGTATACTACCTGGCATTCGTATTGCAGCCAAGCGTGGTGTTGATGAAGGCGTCAATGAAGAAGGCATTGTTCATATGGTACACCGCAGTCCACGTATGAGTACACGAAGAATTGCCAGCCAGGTCTCCAGACTTAAGCCTCCTGGATTATTGTGTGTAAGGATGGATGAATGAACTGGTTTACAATGTGAAGGTGGCAACGCGAGATGCTTTGCTCCATTGCATTCTGGACGCCGCTGACCACATAAGAAACAGCCAGCCGAAGCTGCTATGTGCTACCCGCGCGGTTCACGACTGAGCAGCAGCCTGTGTCGTGGCCAGCGGTGGCATTTTCAAAAATCAGCTTTAAGCACCAATCAATTCAAATTAAAGGTAATATCATGAAGTTAACTTTACATTCATACTTTAAATGTATCAAGTATTATGCTGGTTTATTATTTTGTTCTGTTTATTGTCAGTAATTGTGAGCTTCTATTCTGAGTTTAAAACAGTCATAACTCCGTAACCGTCCAAAATCGGACACATGTTTATATGAACTTTTTTGATCACAAAGACCTAGGAAATCACCTCCTGCAGTTATGCCCTAAAGTTGTGAAACACTCTGTATAGCCCTGACACAGATTGCTTCTAGCAGTTCCTCCATTGTTGTGTTCCTGTCTGTTGCTGCAGAAATGTGTGTACCCAGCCATTACCTATCAATGGCTGTCTCTTCTGGCTCCATGTCACAACATTATGTCCACATTTACTTGTGTGAGATCAGAAAAATGGTGTACCATGGTATAAATTATGGATTCTGTGGTGTTACGGGTATCAAAATGTGTGCATCTACAGTGTGAACTTTAAACTATTGGTTATAAAGGGTGCAGAAGAACCCAACAATTGTGCTTCAGCTACAAAATTTGACTTTACAGAAGTGTCTGACATGTGAAAAAATTGAAAGAACAATTAAGTGTTCCAATTCCACACAGAAAGCATTTCAAGGTTTCATACAGAGACAAAAAACTGTAGTGAAATGGAAAGCCTGGCCAATAATACTGATGGAAATATTTTTTTTTATATAATTTAATATTGTAAGAGGAATCATCTTCTATTGAAGTAAAATGCAGTATCTAATGAACTGTGAAAATTTGAAATCTGTAAAGAACTGTAGATTGAGAGTATACAGCTCTGATGCTGGTCATTAACAGTGAGACATACCTTTCCAATAGAAGCAGTAGAAGTAGTGGTAGGGCAGCAGAAGGTAGTAAAATAATAAAATCTAAAGTTGCAAGAGGTTGAGAAGATGTGGAGTTTACTACAACTTGTGAAGGTTCATTGATACATATTACTGTGTGGGAGCTGCCCACATTGAATCAAGCGCTAGCCAGTGACAGGCTAGGAACCATCCTCTGGGTAAACAACTGTTGCTAGGTAAAGCCTACAATAATATGTGACAACGCTAGGCATCCATATTTAGGCAACAGATGCTTATACTTGGCATCAGTCAAACATGCAGCTGTTCAAGTGACTAGACTGGTTTTGTAGCAGGAGCTGATAATGATAGGGCAAGATCTGGTGTACTGAGCCTGGACTAACACAGGCCTTGTATGTGTTGTATATACATACAGGGTGTCCCAGGAGGAATGGACCAAACTTCGGGAGGGTGTTCCTTATGTTAAAGTATGCCGATATAACCCAAAACACCTATGTCCAAAGTTGAACGGTTACGGAGATAATGGCCCAAGAAAAGTGTGGTCTTCTGGCAGGTCCACGCACTGTACGTCTCAGATGAGAGGCTCATCTATGTTTGTCCTTGAGTGCCGTGATTCACCCTAGCCGTACGTATGTAGTTGGCTTTATCAGAACGTACAGTCAGCCACGTTACGTCAGCGCTTGCCATTCATGTGTCTTGTATAGTGCTTGGAAACCCTAAGGACAATTGTGACATGGCGAGCGAGTATTTTGTACTTCAATTTTATGGCTTCATGTCACTCACAAGTTACTTTGATGTTACGTACATTATTAACATTACAGAATCCACATATTCCTGCCAGTTTTAATATGTATTTTGTAATCAACAAGTGTGCAACGCCGGTCAAAGTTTGACACTTCTCTGGCCATTATCTCTGTAACCGTTCAACTTTGGACATAGGTGTTTTGGGTTATATCGGCATACTTTAACATAAGGAACACCCTCCCGAAGTTTGGTCTATTCCTCCTGGGACACTCTGTATATTTAATACCACGTAAAATGTAAATTGTACCTACTGACAACAGACTTATTACTGCTGACAAAAGACCCATCCTCTTTTTCAGGGAGAGCACCCCATATCTACAAACCTGCAACTTTCCGACAATATTAAAGATCTGGTCTTAAGCCCCAGATGGGTGCTTTATTCCAAGACAGACTGGCCGACTGACAGTTGATCGTAACATGACTTTGACTTTAGAGAGAATAATTATTATAATTATTCTTCACCCTGCCTATCAACAACCAGCAGCCAGTCTTCAAACAGAAGTTCATCTCTATATTCTATACAACTACAATAAATATTTATATAACCGTTTAATAAGTGGTTGTCTGTACATACAACACTGAAACAAGTTTAATGGGCATCATATGAAATCATTATGGTAGGGTTTAATTGAAAACTAAGGAGCTCTAAATCTTCCATGGTTACTCTGCAAAGCAGATAATTAAAAGTCCACTCTGTGTTCATTGTAAGTCTGATATCATAGCTAAGTGAAATCATCTAGACATCAACTGTATTTTGGGGTATGGATGTACATTTTTCAGTAATTTCGTCTACCTGCTCAGCTAACTGTTGGTAGTATGTGTTCTTGGCAGCCTCCCTTCTCAAACTTTGCTGTTCAATATTAAAAGATTTAAATGATCTAACTAACTTCATGGAACTGAGTCCTTGAGAGGCTGCCAGTTGTGCAGCCACTCAAGAACTTCCCAACATCTTACGGAACCTGAAGCTTCATTAGCATCCTCAAAAGAGACCTCCACTGTCCCCTATCCTGAGCCAGATCAATTCAGTCCATACCATCCCATCCTACCTCACTAAGATCCATTTTAATATTATCCAACCACATACATCTTGGTCTTCCCAGTGGTCTCTTTTTTTTTTTTCTGGCTTTCCCACCAATGTCCTATATGCATTCTTCTTCCCCATTTGTGCTACATGCTACATTTAATTCTCCTTGAGTTGGTCATTCTAATTATATGTAGGTCATTTCATAAATAATGCACAGGTTGGCAACACTGCAGATTAGATGATGCAACAACAGTGAGCCTCACATCAGTTACAGTTCAGGGCTTGAGAAAGAAGCACGTTATTTTGTTTCATTTATAAAGTACTCTGTTCTTAAATAACGTGAGTTAGAAATGGAGCCCGCACGGTTCTCAGGTATTGTGACTGTTGAAGATCAAAGGTCATACATTAAGATCGAAACTTTACGTGGAAAAAACCCGACAGAAATCCACAGTGCTTTAAGTGAAGTTTGTGGCGAGTTAACAGTGGACCATAGTACAGTTTCTCGCTGGGCTAGTCGTTTTTTCGACAATCTCAATCAAAGGTCAAACAAATGATCTTTGCATATGATCACCAAGGAATCATCATGTCAGAGTTCCATGCAAGAAAAGTGTCACAGCAGTTTATTATCGTGACTTTATGCAAAATCTGCACAAAAACTGACCTCAGTTGCTCGAGGCTGGGCCAGTCATTGTCCATGACAACGATTGCCCGCGCGTCGGGAATGTCGTAACAGAAAAGCTGCACCAATACGGTTGGGAGGTGTTGCTTCATGCTCCCTACAGCCCGGACATGAGTCCATCAGACTTCGACTTATTCCCAAAGTTGAAACAACCTATGCGAGGCCGTCGTTTTCCCCCTCTGGAAGAGCTTTCTGCTGCAGGTACCTGAGCCATTTGACAGATGAAGAAAGATGGTGTCCTGGATGGAATAGTAAAGCTTCCCACAGGTTGGGACTCAGTTATTGAAGGACTGTAAAGAGATATTAAAAAAAATAAACACGGATGTAAACAAAATATTGTGTGCATTATTTCTTAAATTACCTATGTACATGGTGAAGAGCAAAAGGTAAAGCTATCCCTGTAACACACCATGAAGGCCTATATGATTGTGATGCATCGAGGCTCCCACATTTTATCTAGATGGTCAACTCACAGATGGTGGTAAGGTTGTCAGCCTTACGCACCGGCCGCCCTTTACCCCCCCAGGAAGATTTCTGGTACTCATTTCTGTGTCGACCCCAGAACCATAATGTTGCTCGAAGGACTAAGTAAATTGAAAAAAATCCACCTCATCGGGACTTGAACCCACAATCTTCCAGCTTGTAGCATAGTGCCTCAACCAACTATGCCACCACATGCCCCACTTGGTGAAGAGTACAAGTTGAAATGATCATCTGTTCAGGGTACCTTTATAGTTTTTTTACTTATGGTTTATTTAATGATACTATCCTTAACTCAGGCTTGTAGTATCACATGATGGGAAGATTAGTGAATAATGAATTGATAAGGGTGTGGATGGAAGCAATGATAATATAAATTGAGATACCATCCCAGTATTTGCCTGGAGAGACTGAGGAAAGCCACATAAATCCACCATCAAGGTAGCCAGTCTGTAGGTGTAGATTTGAACACCTGACCTGGATATGAAGCACGGGTACTACCTACTCAAACACAGCATTTTATTGTGCAGAGTAAGTTTTTTTTTTTTGTTTAACTTGTGTGTATAATAATTTATTTGAAATATCTTGCAGGTTCACAAATTGGTCCTCAATGCATGTACAGAATACTTCCAGATGCTGGAGAAGCAAGGCTTTGTTACTGGAGACTGCCTGCAAATGCCACATGATCTGCAAGCAGATGTGGTATTACCAATAATCAAGTATGTACCTTTTCTGCTGTCTGTAGTCTATATGCTTTTTATGCCTAAACTTGCTAAGAACAGTCTCAGTAACAATATGCAGTCACTCCTGTTGTCATTGCAAAAGACAAGAATGACACAGCTTGATAGCTTACCTAGGCAACACCTAGACTTATTTTTTTAAAATTTGGGAAATATCAAGGTAACCCAGTATCGATAATAAATAGAATTTGTGGATTTGCTCTTTACTTAGAGACTGAAAATCCCTAGAGAAAGGAAAACAGTAAGATTTTTAATTGAGTTGTGGCCATTCAGATTTCTAGCATGATGTGTTGAAGTAAATACAGATAACAGATTGCAACAGTTACATAAACGAGATGGCACTGGAGTGTACAGAAATAAATTACAGGTTTACAGATTAATGTAGTAAGCGGCCTCCGTAGTCTAGGGGTAACATTCCCACCTCATGACTCAAGGTACGCGGGTTCAAACCTGGTGGAGGTCGTGGAATTTTTAAGGGTGGAAAAATTCAGGGAACAAGTCCTCCGGGAGTTACTTTAAGCCGTGTGTCCTGTGTCATAGATTACTGCACGTAAAAGATCCTCATGTCTCTAGGAGACCTCTGAGCAAAATAGGCAGTTTCCTGACCAAGTAGATTCCAATTCCTCCGGTAGATGGAGAAGTATCAGGGACCACTACCGGAGAGGGCCGACCTCGCTGGCAGAAAGGGGCTGATAGCGAGCACCAGTACTGGAAGGACATGGCGACTAGTTAGAATAATTAAAAAGGGGGACGCACAATAGATCAATAAATTGTCGCAGTGCCTGGGGTAACCCACCCCTCCGATTAATAATATAAAATAATTAATGCAGTACTGATATTTGGACTGTTAATACATTATTAACCTTTAAGAGACGGCCCTTTAAATTCCGGTAATGGCTGCGGGACTGATTTAATTTAAATGCCCTCGATTATAAAGCAATAAAAATTGTAATCATTTACTAAAATTGCTGTGATTTCTACAATTTTTATGATAAACGAACCAAATAAACGCTGCTTGTTTCTAGAAAGGATATAGAATCCGATATTATAATTTACAGACTTTATAAAATATGTAAAAATTTTTAGACTGATTCCAACTGAAATATGCCCCAATTTGTCGTCTGTCTACAAGAATTCATACAGTTCTTGCAAGTATGAATGCACCTGATGTGCCAACACAGCGAAATCTTAGCTACCCCTGATTTAGGCTAGCCTGTATCAATGTTTATTCACGTACGTTTTTTTTTTTCTGTATGCAGAGATGTGGGCGCGTATCCGTTTATAAGAACCCTGATTGTTTATATTATCGCTTATAGCTACACAGCGAGTGTTCTGTTCTGACCTGGTAGGCTACTGTATAAGAACTCTCAAGGTTAGCGTCCGTATAACAGCCCACCGCATCAGAACACTCAAGGTTAGCATTCTGCGAAGATGTAAAGCAACCAACCATTGCGTGGTCTCGTTTCGAAGACTGGGACATATTTCAGCTCATAAATGACTACGAATCAGATTGTTGTAAACACAATTCTGAGAGTGGCGTTGAGGAAAGTGAATCAGAAATTGATTTCGACGAAGGACCTTCATCTTGGTCGGCAACCTGGGGACCACCACACCAGCATGGCAATAGAGTGTGAATAATTATTCAGTTGGAGCTGTGGGCAAACTGTGGCAAACAGTTATAGCATCTGTCGTCGAACCTGGAAATGGACAAATAAACTATTTTTCCATCTCCTGGATCTGAACAGTTACATCCTGTTGTCACACAGAGAATTTCATCTCGCTCTTGTGTGGAACATGCTGGAAGGGGTCCATCTCGACCTCAGTGGACCAGGGGTCGAACCCCTGCCGTTTCATTGGAGATATCTCGATTAGAGGAGGCCAAACCACATCACTGGCCGACTTCCTCTACTTCGCAATTTAGGTGTCGTGTGTGCTTTTCGCGTGGGAAACGAATAACTGTCTGGACAAAGTGCGTGAAGTGTGACGTCGGACTCTGCATTTCCGGATGATTCCAAGAATTCCACACGAAGGCAACATTCCGTTAGATGACGCAGGTGGGAAGACAGACAACTTATAAAGCTGGTGTCCAAAAATCATGTAAGTAGAACAAGAATTTATAGCTTAAAATTAGATTTTAAAAAGCCGGCCGCATGCGTGGAGTGCGCGACGACATATGGCGTCATTCGTCCCCTTGACTTTATTTTAATGACACCATATGGCGTCGCTCGGCTCTTACAGCTTAAAGTAGCTGAACAGAATGAAAATGAAAATTTTATTTAAATATGCAGTAGTTGAGTCACCAGAACAGAAACCTTTCTTGAACTAGAATAATGCACCGAAGATGAAAAGTAGCTATTTCAGATCTGTGATGAGGTTCTGATGGCAGTGAAAATTAAGATTGTGCTCTTTAAGGATGGGCATCATGTAGTCTATACAGTATCACATCCCAGAAGTTTCGATATTCCGGACCTGTTTGGGCATAACCAAAGCCATATGATACACAACTGTTGTCTTTCACTTCCTTGACATCTTACCAGGCAGTCATAACGCACTGTGACAACACAGAACTTCACGGTTAACCCAAAAAATAGAAAACCACTGCGCCCACTTCTGTGTTTAGGCATAGACAGCAAATCACTGACTTAATGGAAGCTCAGATGAGAGATTTTGGAAATTTATATTCAGTGAAGATTTAGGGACAAACCTGCAATTTGTTTGACTTACAGGTCCAGAAAATTGCACTATTTATAGACAGTTTACAAATAAGAGGAGATGGTTTATGATTGACTGTGTGTGTGTAATTAATGATAGTGTAAGCTTCATGGTACGGGGTCCTGCAGGGAAACCTGACATTTTTCATTTGGCACGAACTGTCCAAACACCTCAGAATGTTGAGACTGTTAGGCGGGCGGTAGTGACTAGTCCCCATCTTTCTGCAGCGAAGCGTGTCATTGCATTAGGCACTTCAGATTGAGTGTGAGACAAGTATTGCGCCTAAATTTTCATTTTCATCCATACAAGGTTATGGTTGTGCAAGAGTTGCATCAGTGTGATTGGGCAAACTGTAGCTTTTGTACAAAACATGCTTGAAATTGTGGCAGATGACGCAGCCATCAGCATGAGTGACAAGGCATACTTCCACTTATTTAGATGTGTTAACAAACAGAAGTAGCATTATTGGTTAGACACAAATCCACGGCAACTTCGTGAATGCCCACTTCACTCTGAACGTGTGACAGTTTTGGTGCTGTCTGGGAAGCTTTGGTGTGATAGGCCCATATTGCTTTGAGGTGGCTGGACATGCTGTAACAGTAAACTCTGGTCGCTATGTTCACATGCTGCATAATTTCCTCGCATCAGAGATTAACAGTCATAGAATTAATCAGCAAACCATGTGATTTGAAGAAGATGGGTACACCTCTCATACTGCAAGAGCTTCCATGCCAGTTATATGAGAAATGATTCCTGGGCATGTCGTTTCTCAGCACAGTGATCATCTGTGGCCTCCTTGGTCACCTGACTTGAGTGTATGCAAGTATTTCCTTTGGGGTTACCACAGAGCAAAGGTATTCATCAGTAGACCACGTACAATTCATGAACTGAAAGTTGGGATTGAAGATGAAATGACAGCAATCCCCCCCCCCCCTTGACATGGTAAGGCACTCAGTGAACAACTTCGAGACGAGCTGCAAGAAGGTGTACAAAGAGACGGTAAGCATCTGAATGGCATAATTTTCATGAGCTGGCAGTTATACACATAATATGGCATACATTGTTGTGTATTATGATAAATAAAATAAGTAAAAGAAATAAAAATTGACTCCATTAGCCTGATTTAGAAACCATCAGGTTTTCCTGCCGGACCCAGTACTTACACTGTTTTCCTTATTAGCTGCTCTGAAACACATTTACGACCCAAGGAGTCAGCCATCCTTATTGACTAACAAGCATAAATACTGCTGATTGAAAAAGATATTTCATCCCTGTACAAATGGCAAGAAGTTTCAAGATCAGGCCAGTAGAACGTGTTGCAATTGATATAGTTTCAACATCCCTCAACACAGTAACTGCAGAAGTATTTTTTAGATGCTCTTATACATGGTGCAATCCAAAAGTTCCCGAAATATATTAATAAAAACTATTACATCTTACCTAGATCTTATTCTGCACCATCACCTTCAAAGTAGTCCCCTTGGGAGCGCATACACCGATTCCAGCATTTCTACCACTTTTCAAATGCATCCTGGAAGTCTTTCTTTGTTAGGGTGTTCAGTACCGTCTGCGTTTCTGCTTGAATTTTCTCAACTGTATCAAATCTTCGCCCCTTCAACTTGATTTTCATCTTGGGGAAGAGAAAGAAGTCGCATGGAGCTAAGTCTGGCAAGTACTGTGGGTGGGGAACAACTGCCATCTTGTTTTTAGCCAAAAATTCCTGCACAATGTAAGCCGTGTGCGGTCGTGCGTTGTCATGGTGGAGTACCCAGTCGTTCGTGCGCCACTTCTCTGGCCGTTTTCTCCTCATATCCTCCCTCAAACGCCTTAGAACATCGCGATAGAACTCTTTATTGACTGTCTGACCAGGAGGGACGAACTCCTTATGAACAATCCCGTCAGTATCAAAAAAACAGATCAACATGGACTTAATGTTGCTCTTGACTTGTCAAGCTTTTTTTTTTGGCCGAGGTGAAGAAGGGCTCTTCCATTGCTACGATTGCTGCTTGCTTTCAGGGTCGTAGCCATAAACCCAACTTTCGTCACCAGTGACAACCTTCAAAAGAAAGTTTGGATCCTCTTGAAGCTGTTGCTGAAGTTCCCTGCAGACTTCCAAGCGATGCTGCTTCTGTTCATTTTGCAGCAGTCGTGGCACAAACTTGGCCGCAATCCTCCTCATGTTCAGTTCCTCTGGCAAAATTCGTTGACATGTACCATAACTTAGTCCCAAGGTGTTACAGAGGTCTTGGATGGTCAGTCTATGATCTTGCAGAATCGGATCCCTAACTTTCGCGGCATTTTCTGGTGTTTTGCCCGTTGACGGCCGTCCCAAATGATCGTCATCATCAGTCGATATTAGGCCATTTTTAAAACGCATATACCAGTTGTAAGTTTGTGTCTGGCCTTAACTGTTTTCACCAAAAGCTTGCTTCAACATTTGGTGTGTTTCTGCAGGGGTTTTCCCAAGTTTGAAACAAAACTTTATACAGGCGCGCTGCTCTCAGGTCAGCCAACAATAAACCCAATCACTCAACTCAATGCCGCTTTCCACACTGATTCAAGAAGGATGTGTGAGGAGACACCTAGCGGTATTTCGATGTACTCATAACCATTCGCACGCAAAATTCAAATTTCAGAAACTTTTGGATTGCCCCACGTATGTTCAGCTCTCATACCAATTAGGTAGTGAGCAGTGTATACATGTGTGGAGAACCATGTTGAGGGGCTAATTCGCTGTTTTAATGGAGAAATAACATAAAGGTGTGAAAAGGATACGTAGAAGGAACAATGGGGTTGAAGAATGAAGATACAAAAGGAATGATTTCCCATCATATTTCAACAGTCCTTTTCCACTGGTGATAATATTAAGGGAATGTGCCCAGAACCATGGTAGGTTTTCATTTTCTGTTTGTAAGAAAAAGCTGTGGGTAATGTTTTATCCTGATATTTTAGTCTATATGGAAATAATTTACATTAAAGTGATGTGAAACCCAAAGTCTTTGAAATCTTTACTTAATCTTTACTTACTTACTTACTAATATATGACGAAGACTAGGAAATTCTGTATGTTGTCCATTATGTCTGTTAGTTGTGTATGTTCTCCTCTAATACAGATGACTAAGCCATTTAAAACTCAGTTTGTTTGGCCTCAAATGTATTACGCATCATGACAGTGAAATCTGTGAAATCTGTGCAGAGAATGAAAGTTACGTTGTTTCTTTTTCAGATTCGTACATTTGGTGTTATGTCAAAGTTTGTTGTAATGACATCTTTGGCATTTTTAGCCCACTTTCTGTATTTTGATAAAATGAAAGGAGGCTTATGAGATTACTTTGCTGTGTGTCTGTATGTGTATTCTGCCCTAACAACTTTTGAATTCCAGAACCAATCTGTATGAAAGTTGGTATGCATACCATGGCACGAGCCAATCTCAATGTCGTAAATCCTCACATCAGCAATACCAACATTACAGCCTGTGAAATTGCTTGGGCAAAACTTAATATTACTTGAAAACCTGTACCGCTCTTTCTGAAACTTGGAACTTGGTGTGTATATCATGCTGCATGAAGCCCTCTCAATGATGTACCTCATAAATCCCTCCCATCAATAATGTCAGCATTGCAATCACTCAGACATTGTATGTATATCATGCCACCTGATCCCTGATACATAAATCCCTGACATTAGTAATACAAACATTACATTTCTTCAAATTGTTGTGGCAAAACCTTAATATTGCTTGAACATTTGTACCAATGTTCATAAGACTTAGTATGTATATCATGCCACGTGAAGCCATCTCAAGATGTACTTCGTAAATCTCTCTCATTAGTAATACCAACACTACAGCCTCTCAAACTGTTGAGATAATAACCTTCATATTACTTCAATGCCAAAACCATTTATGATGAAACTTGGTATGTATATTGTCGCGTATTGGGCATATGACGCGACAAATAACTTCACGCCGTATTTTATATAGCGAATCTTATTCCACATTCGCACTTACAATCACCCAAATTACAGATTTACGATTACTGCTATCTGCAGTATCATGAATAGTACACTCCAAATGCCACAAGACAACTGACTAGTTGCTGGCTAACGAGGACTCACTCGGCGGTAGCTCCAGAACTGACTGACTGACTGACTGACCGACTGACTGTGAATAGCCTTCGCTGTTCCTTATGTAGCCTTGATCGGACAATTGTCGTCTGGTGCCTTGTTGCTAGCCACGCTGTCCGGAGTTGTTGACTGCTGCCTAGCAACCGCGATATCCCTCGGTGACGTCACCGCGGAGGGGAGTGGCGGGGCGGGAACTCGCCTATTACCGTAGTAACGCGAGCGCTACGTTACCGCCACGTACCGCTGGGGAGGTAGGGCTGATCCATAGCTCAACATGTCACACTGTTCCCTCCTTAAGGCTGTTCGTCCCGAATAGCCTAGCGGTGCATCCCCGTTCCTTTTCCGTCCCGTAGCTGTGCTTGCGGTGTCTCCTGTTGTTTCGGCTACTATTCTTGCAGCGACTATTCTTCGTCCGTTA